TCCATCATAACAAAAACAGTTTTTTGACCAACTGAGTTTTCTTCTAGAACCTTTAGTACATGGAACTATAGTAAACCCAACCATGGTCAAGGAATTATATTCCCATTTAAGAAAAAGAAAAAGAAGGAGAATTTTAGGAGGAAGAGGAATTTCAACAACCAAGGGTAATTCGACCCGTCTATGGGATGGGTGGAAGCGGTACTATTAGTTATTTATTTGACTAAGGTTTTTAAAAGTTTTTGACTTGGTTTTCTTTTCTTATTTTTAAAAAATTAAAGTTTGTTAAAAAAAAACAAAAAAAGAGAGAAGGGGTAATATATGCTGCTCAAAATCAAGAGGTATATGTGTTCTTATCAGTGCAATTGATATCGTAGAAATAAAAATTACATTCTTATTAATCTTCATTAATTTGCAATTAATAAAATTAGAAATAACCTCCTTCCCACTAACATATCAAACCTTTGGTTTTATTATATAAGGATTTGTGTAATTTTATGGGATCACCATATGGATTAGTACAAATTGAAAAAAAGAAAGAAACTTAAAAGATATAAAGGACCGTTGATGATGGTAGCATCTATAGATGTTGATAGTTTTAGTCAAAATGGATGAATGTGTGCTTATTCATCATATACCCCACTTCATTAAAGTACACTCAAGATGGACCACCACGCTTGCATAAGTTAAAATAATTTATGTTTTTATAGGTAACCATCCAATTTTCAACAATTAAAATTTTGTTATTATAAGAGTTTAAAGTCTGACTCTAACATCAAAATTTCATAAAAATCACTTAATTAAATAAATGTTGAGGTTGACGCATTCTATATAATGGAGAGCTTGTAAAATATGGATAACCCATTCTCTCACAACTCAGTTCCCATTTCAGCAATTTTTTTTTTAGAAAAAATAACAAGTCATATAAGATATTTTATTAGTCAAATTAGTTAACACTATTGATGGAGACATTAAATCTAATTAAATCATCAACATTCTTGTCAAACTTTTTTTTTTTTCAATATTAAATCTTAAGAGCATTTATGTGTACGTCAAACTTTTATTGGAAAGAAACTTGGTGCTTGGATAAATTACACAACTTATACAGGTGTATATATATATATATATATTTACAAAAGTAATAGTTAGTAGTTAGATTAAGAATTGTTACCAACTGAAGATTCGATTTCAAAACAGGAGATCTCAAAAAAAAAAAAAAAACTTATACATGTATAAAGAAACAAAGGGTAAGCATCTTCGATTTGTTTGTTTTTGTATAAAATAAGGTTAAACATCTTATTTAGTCCCTCAAATATTATACAAGCTTTTGAGTTGGTTCTTAAATTAAAAAAAAAATTAATTTGGTCTCTAAAATTTTTAAATTTAGTTTTAAGTTGACCACTTTCATTTAAAAACAACAGATGTATCTCATTATTAATATGATATATGACCATTAAATAATAATCTTTTACTATTAAGTAATGGACACGTTATTGTTTTTTAACAAAAAAAAATTAACTTAAAGTTAAATTCAAAAACTTTAAGGATTCAATGAAAATTTTTTTAATTTAAAAACCAACTTAAAAGTCCATGTAATAGTTGAAGAAGTAAATTAGAATTTAACCATAGAAAAAGTATATATTAGTCTTGTCTTATAAGAAGAATTGCTTAAAATTATAGATGCCATCAACTTAAAGCTATATTATTTTTATGTATATGCATAAATTTCTTGATGCCAAGTTTTAAATTAGCATCGTTTTAGGTTAATTTTTTTAATTGGTAAGTTTAATAAATTTCAAATCTCAATTTAAAAAGAATAAAATTCCTAACTTTAAGAATCATGACAAGCAGTCAAGCACTATTCCCATGCTCCATCACAAAAATTTCTAGCAACAATCTATTTGGATAATTGTTTGATGGATCGAAAAACCTCTCCCATTCATATAACTCAATAATTATGTTAAGGACGAGTTAAATTATCAAATGAATCCAAATGCAAGGAGTAATATAGCTTATGTAAAAAATATCTATTAATAACTAAAGAGATCTAATGGTAATATTTTTTCAATAAAATTTTAAATTTAAGCCTAAAACATACTCTACAAAAGTAAATACATAGAAAGATAAGAATGTATCATTTGTTATTATACATAAAAAAATATATATAATTTTAGTATGTAACTCAAAATAACAATACTCAAAAAAAAAACAACAAAGGAAAGATGCTACATACACCATTTTTTTATGTTCATTCAATAATTAATTGTTTAATCATACAAAATTTAAAAAATTTAATTTTAACACTAAATTAAAACTTTTTAATAATAGATAGAAAGGCAGCCAAGGTTTGCACCCAACCTTTTTTTTTTTTTAATAATATCACAAATAAAGTGATTTCATTACATTTGACATTTGAGTTGAGCCAGTGGTAAAAGAAAGAAAAAAAAAAAAAACATTTGTACGATTAAACCTCTAAAAAAATTCACTACCTATGAATCCAAAGTTCTGTAGTAATATCCATAGAACCCATTTTTCTGTTTTGTCAATTTCTCAGAAAGAATCACTCCTTTGAGAGCCTAATTGCCAGCACAAACCCCAAACCCAAATAACTTGAATCCACTTTGCTGCAATTTCGACTCGGCCGAGTTGACACTGGTTACCCGAGTTGACTCGCTCAGGGTGGAGCCAAACCCAATACACAGTTCCAAGTTTATCCCTTCCTTCTTTGGCTGCTGCTGTTCTTCATCCGTGGTCATGCCGCTGCTCGAACAGTTTCCTTCCTCAACGGATTCCGTCTTTGCCTTGACTTGAAACTTATTGCACTTATAATCCCAAGATGGGATTGTAATAAAATTGGGTTTTGAACCTTTTGATGCATTTCTGAAGTCCAATTCCACGGCGGACTTCTCAGTGGTGGTGGTGGTGGTGATGGTGGCGGAGGTGGTTTTGTTGGCAACTTCGTTCAAAGGACGGTGCGTTTGTGGGTCAATTCCTCGTTTAAGAAGCTTTCTCTTGATGTGGGTATTCCAGTAGTTCTTGATTTCGTTATCTGTTCTTCCGGGTAATCTTCCAGCAATCAGAGACCATCTGCAACAAGAACATGATTACAATTTTCCCCACAAGAAATTATGAATTCAGAGCTGTTTTTCTCCCCTAATTTAAATCTTACTTGTTTCCGAGCAGACTGTGAAGCTTAATGATGACTTCATCTTCTTCTTCGGTGAAATTTCCCCTCTTAAGATCAGGCCTCAAGTAATTTATCCACCTCAATCTGCAACTCTTCCCACACCGAAACAACCCTACAAAATTTAACCAAAAATAAAAATAAAAATCAGTTAATACCCAAAAAAAAAAAAAAAAAAAAACAGAGGAAACACAGAACAGAGGATTTCAGCTCCGATTAACTTACCGGCGGCTTTAGGGAGGGAACGCCAGCCGCCTTCACCATGAACACGGATGTAATCGATGAGGCGCTGGTCCTCCTCTTTGGTCCAGGCGCCTTTGTTGGTATGAGCTTTCTCGCAGCAAGGTGACCGACCCATCAAATTTTCTTCAAGCAAAAACACAAACTTTGTTGCTTTTCTTGAACTTGGGTGGGGTTCAAGTGCTGAAAATCAAGACCCAGATTTAATAAATGGAGAGGAGAGGTGGGTTTCGGTTGTGTCTCTGTTAGAAAGCAGAGGAGGATTTATATGAAGAATAGGTGGGAAAAGGGAAGAAAGTGGTGGGATTTGACCCATTTTGGTGAGAAGGACAATTGGGTAGAGTGAATTTGGTAGGCAGGAGGTAGCTCTCCTTTTTACCTCATATTGTACCTTCCTTCATTCATTATGTCAAAGTTAAAACCTCATTTAGTCCCTCCATTTTTTTATATAATTTTTG